GAAAATGGCAGGCAATACAAGTGATCCAGTCCAGGGGGACGCTGAGTGAGCAGCTGGGTTTGGGTACAACAGCTAGTGACAGCCTTCCCTCTGGCTTCCTTCCTGTGCCTGAGCATTGCACAGACAAACCCGTCACCATTTCTGCCATGGCCTGGGGACATCAGGGGCTTCTGTCCCGGTCAGAGCTTGGTCTAAACAAACCAGAGAGCAATTTGCTCACTCTCATGATCAGTATGCAGGAGCACTGTGCTGTTGCTTATGGGGGACCCTTTCTTTGCACCTCCTGGCTGAGAATGCCAGTGGCAGCGATGCCCCCAGCCTGGTACCGGCAGAGGCTGCCGCTGCTCTGTCTTGCTCGGAGCAGCACCGTGGCTGTGACACCATTGGATCTGCATTTTGTGAAGGAGCTGAGACATCCAAGGATAGCAGGGTACTCCCTGAATACCCTGCAGCCTTACGTCCACGGGTTTGACAGCAGTGCTTCTTCACTGATGACTGTGGAGCTTCTCCAGCTTTACAGAAGTGCAAAGGAGGGTCCAATCAAACTTTCTATATTCAGGACCAAGAGGCTGGGTTAGATTTACTGGACCAGGGCAGGTGAAAGCTGAGGTAGACTAGAAAAAAAATCTGTCCTCTCACAAATCACCCCCAGCCTGTGCTGCAGGGGCAGGGGGGCAGATGGGGCCAGACATTCCCAGCACCTTCCTGAAGGACCAGACTGACCCAAGTGATACAGAGATTGGCTTGTACCTGGAAATCCCATCCACATTTCCATCTACAGATGGCAGGAGACACTACTGGGATCAAGCATAAATGAAACATCTTGTTTTTCCAAAACAGAAATAGCTTCTGTGGCAATCCATGGTCCCTTATACCCTCCCTGAGCAGGTCTGACACACTGAATACCCCCCAAATGGCAGTTGCATCTGCTTAGCTCCCTTCTTTGATCCCAAGTGTCATTGAATGGGGTCTCCCTAAGTTTTTGTCTGATAGCTACCATTTTATTTGTTTCGAGACTCTGCAATTTCCAATAAAATTAGAGTTAGCACAAACCAGACCTATGGTTGTTTTTCAAAGCAAATCTAATTACTCTTCTTACTCAAATTGCCTTTTGTTCAAGGGATGGGATTGAGATACAGAAAACAAGTTGCAGGCAGATGCTAATCATTTTGCATGTAAATTACTATCATTTCTTTACAAATATTTCATGCAGGTTTTTAGTTTAACAATTAAAAAAAAAAAATCTACTTTTTCAAACCACTTTCAGTAATATCTATAGACATTTAACAAAATGCCTCAGGCTCTAACTCTCCAAATAGTATACAAATAAATGTATTTATTTACTTTGTATGCAAAAATAATTCAAAGACACATATTTCACATGAAGATAAAACCAGACAAATTTCCTTTTTTTTTTTTCCCTCCAAATCACAAGCATACTTTTTAATGAGGAGAACTGGTGGGTTTACTGAGTGAGCTGAATTCATGACAGTGACAACAGGGGACTGGGAGCTCTGTGGAGTTTGTACAGAAAATAAAGTCACGATTTATTTCTTTGATTAAAGACTGAAAAAAGACTGGTGATTAAAAGATGAAGCTATCTGTCTCGTACCTGGTCATGCTCTTTCTGTCAAGGAGATAGTTGGGAAAATAATTGAGTGAGGTTCGTTATAAGTCTATTTCAAAAGGTCCCTATACCAAATGAGAGAGTGAAGTGGGTGCTCTGGACCCCAGCACTTACCATACCATTACCTCTGGAGGAGGATGTCCTTACATCCCATCAGAAGCACATGGGGGACACAGCCTGAGGATCCCTGTGCTATTTTACCCACTGTGTGGGATGAAGAGAAAGTATTGGACTCCAGGGCTGCCCATCAAGCACATTTCATCAACACTGAATTCATCTTAAAAAAGCAAAACAAAGAAAGGAGCTTGCGTACCCCAGAGGTCTGGCCAATAGATCGGTGATTTTCCAAAAATACCTTCAGTTATCTCAGACTTCAGTCTGTGCAGCACTGGCCACCAAGAACTGCTTTAGTAGTGTGAAACCTGTTAAGCTCACCTGCATTTTCCTCTTTCCTCCCAGCTCTTCTCAAGAAGATATCAAGAAGAAAAACATAAGGGTTTGCATGTTAAATAGATTTAGAGGACACTCTGAATATCCCCAGGCGATGCTTGGGAGAGTGGCCCACGTCTTCTTTGTCTGTGCCATCTCCCTTGTGGTCAACTGGTTTTTCCTTCTCTGTCTGCTTGCTCTTTGTGTCACGTCTGCACGTGGTAGTGCCTGCACCGAAGATTTCTGGTGCTCAAACCTGTGAAGACCCTGCGGCACGTCAGTGTGGTGGTAGGATGAATTGCGTCCTAGTGTGCATTTGTCTCTACATGGCACAGTGGGACGCTTGCTGTTGCGGATACATAAGAAGGATGATAATAATGAATAAAAATAGCATTATTTAACTAGAACTTAGCTGTCAAATCTGTTGTTTTTTTAAACTGCCGAATGGACAGAGCTGGGATGTTTCTTGGTGGTGTTGCTGTGGTTAGTGTCCTGAAGTGCTATTTCAACTGAATTGTGGGGGATGAAGAATCAACCAGCCAACTCACAAAACCAATGGGACAGTTTTGTTTGCTTCTGAGGGAGTTTAAACATTTAAAGGAAATCACTTTTTTTTCTTTATTTTTCTTAAATCTTCATTAGGTGGATGACTTTATATACCTTTGCTTTAAAATAAAATAATAATTTTGCTGGTTTATTGGTACAAGTGTACATACAATACAGCATCTGCTTTTATGAACTACTTCTGCATGTCATAAAATACCATACTGCAGTAATTTTAAAATAGACATTTATCTGAAAACTTGATTTTCAATAACTTTTAAATAAAATCTATTTTTTTTTTCTTTCTGAAACAACATTTTCAAAATGCATTAGCTTTCATCTTTCTTCACTGAAAATAAAAAATAGCCTTTGTTCCACACTGAAATTAAAACAGATGTTGAAAATCCAGGTATCTCAGGCACAGTAAATTCCATGTTTTGGTCAAGTAGTTAGCTATCCTTCACAGCCTACCAACTTTTCAGTCTCCCTAAAGGGAATTTTCTTGATAAGTTTTTATTGATGGGGTAACAAAGGCATGGGAAAAAGGATTGAGTTGTCCAGTTTGGTTTTAGAGATGCTCTCCATGGCAGGGCTTGCTGCCTGGCTGGGCCTGATGCCAAGGAGAACCCCCGAGGCAGCCGGTCACAGGCAGGCGCTGCAAACCGCCGGGCTCCAGGGTGAGCTGCCTCTTCCCAGGCAAGACAAAGCCTGGAGATAAAGAGCAGATTTAAGGAGCGCTTAAACACTGATCTTCTGGGAAGCTACTTCAAACACTGTTTTATAGTGCTCTAAGTCATCTAGATCTCTCTTAACTTGTTTCACTCTCTTCTTAAAATATTTATTTCTCCAGCAAGGAAGACTCCCTCAGAGAGGGCAAAATGACCCGTTAGGCTGACAGTGTTTTTATCTGTGTGGTGCTAATGATTGATGCAAACTTCATGTGTGCAGCACAGTTCCGCGCTTTCTGCTGTGCTTTATCTTCTGTGGCTTCAAGCCTGCCTGGCTCCGTAGGTCTGTTGCGTGCTGGATTTATTGTCAGACCAGCAACGCTTTATATAACCCCCAAAGCGCTTGGGAACACATACCTGAGTGTTGCTGAATGTTCAAAATGTTCGCTCTTAAATGAGGTCTGCAGTAAATACATGGCATTACTCCAGACGCCTTGCTCAAATGTTGGTCATGGGTTTTCCATTAGCAAGGTTGGAGAAGCTCACAAAGACTTCTGAGTGGCAAGGGCTTGGGAGAGAGCATCGCTCGCCTGTAGCAACACCTGCCTTCACTCGCAGGGCTGAGATACCTTGTCTGGGTCCTACAAGAAGGGATTTTGTTGTTAAAACAGTTTTTCTTCAGAAAATGCATATTCATTGTGGCTTGAGCTTTTTTTTGCAAGAATGTCATAGCTTTAAGAAACCCAGCGGGAGAATTTCTTTGGCCAGGATGAATCTTCTGCTCAAAACCAGTATCTGGGGAAAAAAGCCAACCCACCAACAACCACAGCTGGCTCAGTGAAGGTTTGGGAGCCCACTGCCAGAGTCCCGTGGCCAGCGCACCCTTTTAAAAGAAGTTTAGTATTTCCCTGTTGTTAAAATCTTGAAAAGTTACAGGGACATGATAAGTTTTGGTGCATAGCTGAGCGCAGTTTCCTCCTTGAGACCTTCTGCAAAGCCACACAAGTGGCAAAGGCACAGGCCACCCCCGCAGCCGGCACAGGCTCAGGGGATGTCTCGCACAGGGCCATGTGTCCTCTTTTCCTGGGCAGGGGTGGGACCAGTTCTTGGTATCTGAAGAAATACTTGTGTCAGAAACCTTTAAAATTACTTCTTTCTCTTTAGTGAAAGACTTCCAGGCTTTGTGCCAGCATTTCCTCCTGTTGCTTTTGAAAATAAATAAATTGTTTGCTTGCTTTTGTACTCCCATTTCTCTGAGTCCACTTAATAAACCACCTGTTGCCCTTAAGAATTCAATGTTTTAGACAACAACCATTGCGCGTTTCTTGCCCAGCACAGGCAAGGCAAGAACAAAGCCAGGGGAAGGCATTGGGAGCACCAGATGAGCAGCATCAGGCTTTCTCTGCTTTACAACTCTCTTTTTTATTTTGCTTAGTATTTCAGTCTAAATCCTGGCAAATTCCTGAGTTTTCCTGCATATTTTTCATGCCCGTTCACTATAGACTGCTTTGCAAACCAAAGCTCTGCCGGGGAAGGAGAGCCCCCCCTTTCAGTGGGGAGTTTTCTAGATGTGTGTTATTGCTGGGAGCTGGTATTGCTGATGCCTGTTGTTTTCTATTGTTAAACTAACTGCAATGCGTGACCGTCGTGTATCACTCAGTGATGCCTAATTTAGGAGATCAGTGATTAATTCCTTCCACTGCTTTTTCTTCTCTCTCTCTCTCTCACTGCAGGATGTTTTCACACCAGAGTGCAAATTTAAGGAATCTGTCTTTGAAAATTACTACGTTATTTATTCTTCTACGCTGTACCGGCAGCAAGAATCCGGACGAGCGTGGTTCTTGGGACTCAATAAAGAAGGTCAAATTATGAAGGGAAACCGAGTGAAAAAAACCAAACCCTCATCACATTTTGTACCCAAACCCATTGAAGGTATGGAATCTGCCTGCTCCCTCCATTGGTGGGGTATGGGGAGGGTGAGTTTCCTTCTGCAGATTTGGGGCTTCCTGGATGTGGGTGCTGGGTTGCAAGACCAGAAATGAAGGACAATGTTTGTACAATTTCAGAAAGGTGCTGGGCTGCACTGTTAGCATTTCATCTGCTTTTTTTCCCACATAATAAACTTTGCACATCGTCCCAAAGGGTTTCGCAGCTTTGGGGTGCTAAAGGATGAATTTAAAAGCCCAGTAGCATGGGAAGTTACTGGGAAAGGAAAGCAGCCCTCGAGTGGTCAGCGGTTCAAAAGTGACCGTAACGGGTTCTCTGTGAGGATTCTCCCAACACCATTCAGTGGGTTTCCAGTCCCATGTAGAGTCAGTAGAGATAGGATTTCTTTCACCTGATTTTAGACTTTGACTTTACAGTAACAGAAGAGAAATGGGTCCTACCAGTACAGCTGTGGGTGTACTTTATATGTCTACCCTAATATGACTTAAATCTGTTTTTTCTCATATGTAAGGACATAGTCACTGGGGGGGTAGAGAAACCTTATCATAGATGTCCAAAGTTAGATGAGATGCTGCCACGCCGTATGTTTTCATTGCAGCGTGAGGCTTCGGTGAAAGTCATGGAGCTGAAGTTTTGCCCTCCTGCTGCTGGCTGTACACTACTGAAGTGTGCCCCAGGCTCGTGCCAGGTCATTTTGCTTTTTATGGGCTGGTCCCTGATAAATGGAGAGATGTAGTGTGATGAGCCTAGTACTTAACAGGTACTAACTTCATTCTGGAAACAAGGAGACCTCTTTCTTTCTGTTGCTTGGAAAAAGCACTACTTTTCGATCCCCAAACTAGGTACACCTTTCTGACCCCATCTCAGACCTGCCAGTGGCCACCTCAGGGACGCAGCAGCCTGGGGCTGGCCGTATGGCTCTGTGCCCCCTCTCGCTACCCCCATGTTGGCTGCGGGCGCAGGGCTGGACACGTGGAGAGAAGGAATGAACTGATGCTTTCCCAACAGGTAACACTCACAAGTGGTGGAGGCTACAGCTAAGTCCCTGCACTAATAGGTGTTTTAACAGCTTCCCAGCTAAGGTGCAGGGGTAGACAAGTGTGTGTGTGGGGGGTGTGTGCATGAGTGAAAGGCCAGTTCAGGAAGATAGACTGAAATCGTCTGTTGGACCACTGAAACAAAGCACGATGAGAGAAATTAAACTCAGTATTCTCAAACTATTTCTGGCCTTTGCACAGGAGATGGGGATGTTGGAAGAGCAGAGAATAGCCTGGAGCCTCTTGTCCTATGCTTGTTTTCAACAGCTTTTTTGCAACTGGGAGCTTTTTCTTGTTTATCTGAGGCATTAGTGGGATCGGCGCCCTAAACTCTCATTGAGTTTTGCTAAGGAACAGGGCCTGCTTCAGGCATGGGGTCGGTCACCAGCTTCTCTTCTGTCTCCTCCTCTCCTGCCTTGGCTGGGAGGAGAGTCTTTTGCAAGTGCTAGATTTCACAGCTGGGTTTCCAGCTCCTTCTGGTATTTCTTTGCTGCCTGGCTGGGTGTTGGCACTGATCAGTGGGTTCCTTTGAATCCAAGCTTCTTTTTTGATGTAACGTGCGTGGCGTCTGCTGAATGGCTCAATAGTTGTCTTCTGCGTGCATTAAACTAGGCCATTCCTGTGGCTCTCCTCATGGAAAGCCTTGCCTTAATAGAGGTGCCTGACCCACAGCGGAGTTCTCACTGCAGCAAATGCCGCTCTGGCTTTCATTTCGAAAAACCCAGCCCATCCCGAGAGCTTCCCTTTCCTGCAGTTGCATACTCCCACGCTTGCTTCAATCACAGCTGTCACATAACCTCCCGAGCGAGCGAGCGCTTTGGAAGTTGGCAGCCAAATTAAGGGCTCCTCCACCCCTTCCCTCCTCCACATGCTTTGCAGTCAGCCTCTGTGAGCGCTGCTGCATCAAAGAGCTGGCAGTCTCCCAAGCCAAGGCACGTGTCAGCTTCCCAAAGCATTCAGCTGTCTGGGACTGTGACTCCAGACGGAGGACTCTGTGCCCAAGCCGAAGATTCGTTGTGGGATAGCAGAGGCTTGTGGGGAGGGTTGGAGTAAAATGCGCTCAGCTCCACGTGACTTCTCTGTGCTGCATCCATCAAAGTCTCCGCGAGCAGAGCTTGCAAGCAGAGGTGTTATAGAGAAGGGGCAATTCCTTCCCTGTTTTAACAGCTTCTTTCTCTTTGTCATGACTCTAAGGAAGTATTCAAAGCACTCCCCTGCTATATTTGCACGTCCCTTCTGCTAAATGCTGTGGTGTGCCCCAGGGTGCGGGCTTTGCTGCTTATTCGGGCCAGTACTTTGCAGCTTCCGTCTGCATTAATGCACACAGGTTTCCTTTTGCTCCAGTACCACCACCAGCATTTGCCTTGCCACATGACGGCTGACACAGTAACGTATGCAAGGAGGAATCTGGTCCTCTGGGAAGGAGAGGTGTTACGTACATTGCTAGGAATCACTTCACCCACCACTTCAATGGCAATTATCTCGGAGATGAAACTTCCCAGTTGTTTGCCATGTGCAGAAAAATTATGCAGCAGCTTAGTGAAGAGAGCGTTCGCAGGGAAAGGCAACTCAAAAAAGCCCAGATTGCTCCCGGAACTCATTTGACTCCTGTTCGTTCATACTGCTTTCTGAATTCAGAAGTCCTCTCCTTGGAGTTGCAAATGGGCAGTAAACTAATAAATAAATATGAAATATCCTCCCAGATAATTTCTAAGGACAACATATATGTACATGTGCATATATATACAGTGGTATCTGTGTATGCATGTGTGTTCTCTATGGCTTTTAGCAGCTACAGCTTTATGCTGTGCTATTCCCACAGAGTGTTTTGACTCCTGTAGATTGCCCGGACGCTGGAGGTGTTCTGTGTGAAAGTCACTAGATACCATTTGGAAAAGTTTTGGGGTTTGGTTGGTAGGAGGGTGTTTTTGGTTTAGTGTAGATAGGATTTGTTTGTTTTTGGAAATCGCATTAAGCTTAATCAATATAAAAGCACAAAAAACTTACTAAGTAATAGCAGGGGAAATGTTAAGTTCCTCTCCCATCTGTGCACAGGCAAAGCCGAGGCAAACAGCCTGGCAGGCAGCAGCTAATGTACTGTGTGGCACCAGTTTTCATTAAAAACACACATACGCAACACATTCCTTTTGATATTTTTATTTCTGATCACTGATCATTCAAGCTAAATGAGCCCTTCAAGCGCAGACATATAGATTGAACCAGACTACATAAGAAATTAGCTTGAGCATAATTGTCACTTGGACACCAAGCAATCTTTTAAAGCAATTTCAGTCTCTTGAAGTGTCTGTAGTGATTAGTGCTGGACAAACACTACCATCCATGGTGCCTCTTGTTCTTTGAAATATCCAAACCCATCTCAAACAACAGGAGACTTTTCCAGTCACTTGAGAATTTTATCAGATGCTTATTGTGGATATGCTCTGTTATTTATATTTCCTTCTCCTTGAAGACACCATTTCCAGATTGCTCTTCCAAAAGAGCTACATTTCATCTCTCAGCTGGCCCAAGCCAGAATGCATTTGGGGTGGCAAATCTGGCCACCGAAAGCAGAAGACAACTTCCTCCATCTGAGTCAGCAGAGCTGCCCCTAACTCCAAACTCATGGTGCTTCCGCCCTTGTGACATGAACATGTCTCAGATATGAAGGTGACCTGTTAACGACTAGTCTGATGCATCTGCTACTACTGGTGAACATCGGTGCACAAGGAACAGCAGCCAGATCTTTCCCAGCGTGTTTTCCCAGGAATGCAACATCCCAGTTTTGTTAAAGCGGAGTCCTCAGATGTTGCAAAGAAGTACAAGACACGGTTGAGTAGGAAGATGTGGTAGGCCTAGTAAAAATGCTTCAAAAGTGTCACCTTAATCCACAAAACAGCCTAAAAAGTGTTCTTTAAGAAAAAAAAACCCCAACAAACTTCACACTCTTTATTAGTCTTTGTTAACACAGCTCATCTTTTGGGTCTGTCTTTCAAGTGGGCAGACTTTGGTATGTTTTCAATCCCACACTAACTCACTTGGTCATCTATCAAACTCCTAATCATCTTATCAGATGGGAAATGCAATGTATTTTAACCGTACTTTTGCTTGGCTTTTTGTCATCCTATGCTGTGTCTCTTACCTGAACAAACTGTGATTCCATCTGGCAGCATCCTGCACATTTAGCCGCCAGATAGACGGCGAGCTCAAATGCCTCTGAAATGCATCAGCTGGGACCCAGTTTAGAACACAGTAATTAGAGGCAGAAAACGAGGGTGCGTAATCACTTGCTCCCTCCTGCCCCTAGCTGCTGCTCAGACAATTAATTCTCTCCACTGAAGCATTAGCTAATGCAGCCACTACTGCAGATACCGACACCCGGACCTGTGGCATCCGTCAAGGGACCGAGCCCGTCTCCCGGGTTGCCTGCTGTGTGCCCAGCCCTGCCCAGACACCGGTCCAGGCTGCCATCGGGGCACGTTGTGATCCTGCAGGGCTAACTACGTGCTAAACAGCAACTTGGAAAATGTTTGGTTCCTCCTAACTCACTAGGGTTTGGGGCAGGGAAAGGCAGGAGTGAAGCTGAGTGGATAGGATATATCTGAGGTCCTTTATTAAGCTTTTGCCTGTATTCTAGAGAAAGGAAATGGAGTTCATTGCATCTCCTTAACTGGCAGCGATGTCAAGTGAGAAATGCTAGGATCAGGACACAAAACGGTGCATGCTTCCCTAACTCAGCCAGTCCCTGATGCCCAGGGAAGCTGCACAGGGCGATTTTGGTTTCACTGTGTGGGTGGTGTGCCAGTGCTATGCCTTCACTTTTGGGGAAGGATGCTGCCTGCCACCCTCTTTCCCTTGCTTGTAACCCCAGTCTCCTTCCTGCCTAATTTGTGAGTTGTTTCTTTATGCAAAATTGTTTTCGTGTGCATGAGAACAGCAGGCACTGCTGGTTAGTGGGGAAGCAGAGAATCAAAAGCCGCAAGAACCGGCTGTGGGCACGGCTCCACTGCTGCTCACCACCTTCCATTTATGCCTGTGGATCTTCCGCAGATCAAGCTAACGGCGCTTTCCAATTAAAGCATGAATATGGATGTGTTGATTAGAATCTGGGACATAGGAGCTGATTATCTGATTGAAGCTCCAAAGCATTAGCTTGGTTTTCAGACATTAAGGGCTGTATTTGGCTTGGTGTGTGGGTGTGGGTGGGTGGGAGAAGCAAGGCAAAGCAAGGAGGGGACTCTTGTTCTAGCCAAATTGCTCATCCTTCCAAAGCTGCCTTGTGCTGTGTGCACCAACAGACGCCCCAAGCGTCTGGGCATGCCAACTGTCACCCTGCTGCTAGTTTACCTTGATGCAGGTGACAGGGACAGTATATCTTCCCCCACACCCACACACATACACACACAGGGACCCCAACACAGGGCCCCCAAACACCCCTGCCAGTGGCTGGTTCTAGTCCTGAACCACAAAGATGTACTTTAAAGCTGGGAAGATCTGAGCGCTCACAACAGTCCATTTGCAAACACCCGCCCTCCCCGGTCCATGACTAACATCTCCGCGCATGAGTCACGCTCAAGCGTCCTCAGTACAAGGAGTAACAAACTGCAGTCCAAGAGCCTGTGTTGCACAACATGTCACGCTGTCCTTAAAAGGACCGTGCGTGTGTCTGTTTGCACACACACCTGCGTGTCACGGTGCACGCGGGTTTGCAGCCGCCGCTGAGCGATGGCCATAGCTCAGCACACGCGCACAAGTCTTTCATGCAGGGGAATATCCAGGCATTATCTTGTGCGTGATGCCATATAAATACTGTGTACGCTGTTGCTGTAGGTGTATCTAAATACTGAAATACGCTTGTCCTATGCTGCTACAGATTTTCTGGCATGGTCTGTTGGCACAACCTGTCTAGTACAGAAGCTTTGACAGTTCTGTCTGAAATGCACAATGTGAGCAGCCTCCAGCCATGCTCCATGTCAGTACTTGTATCATGCACTAGACTGGAAGATAAACTTATAATTCCTGCCCTATTTGCTTGCTAGGTACAGGGTTTCCTTGATTTTTTGCTGCGAATGTTGTTTACTTCTGTAGCCTGATTTATATTCATTACTCTGTGGGCCTTGTTAGCAGCTCAACATTTTTGCCCAAAGGCCATAGCGAGAGGCAGGGAGCTGAGGAAAGGCAACGTGTCATGGTGCTGCTGCTGCGGGCTTTGCTCAGGCTCAGCCCTTGTGGTTAAGCATCTGGCCCAGCCCAATGGGGTGTTGGGGGTCGATGCAGGTTGAGATGAGCTTAGTATGGTGCAGCTGCCTGGGGGAAGAGCTCATGGAGGTCGCTTCACAGCTCCAGCCTGGGACCAGAGAGGTCAAGGTGAAGATGACACTGCACTTGAGGCAGAATTTTGTATATGGGATGCCAGGGGCACTGGGGAAGAACTGGCACAAATACCCAACTCTGCTGGGCAAACACCACGTCAGAGAATAAGGTCAGTCACAGAAGCGATGTGCGTCTTCAGTGTCATCAAAAGGCTCTGCAGCTCAGGCTAAGAAATCACAAGGGCACAGGTGTTTCTCAGGTGTTAACCTTTTCATAGTTATTCACGCTTTTTCGAGGTGCTTCTCCACAGCAGGCAAATTCACTGTCACCAGGTTGGTGAGTGACACTCACCAAGGTATGAGGTGCTGCTCAGCAGCCGAAAGGGGATGTGGGATCCCTTTTTCTTCTGTTACCTCCTTGCTACACGCTTTGTCTGCACCATTCAGACAGCACTGATAGTCTGGGCAGCTGACGGGCAGTCCTGGCATTGCTCATCCTGGCCCAGACCCATAGGACAAGTCATTCATTTTCTCTTTTTTTCTCATTGTCATCAAAAAATGGCTCCAGTAGCAGTAACAGTTTGCAGATTGGTACCTGCCTTGCAGCCATGCTGGGAGGCCCAGCTAGTGTGTGTGTTTAAACTGCTTTGAAAGCCTTGCATGAAAAATGCTGTATGGGAAAAGTAATATTTTTTCACTGCTGATATATTCAATGCAATATCCCTCCTATTAATACACAGTTGACTGCACTTTATCTCTGTCCCGTATTGTTGCACACTGCTATAACTGTTTATCTAGCTAGGAGTAAAATGCAGAGCAATAATGTCATTTGCAGCCTGCCTCTAATTGCCAGGATTTATTTGCAAATCAGGGGAGGTTATAAATATAAGCGCTTACATTGCCTTTTTATATATGGGGTATTTTTTTTTTCTTTCATTTCTTCAGATAAATTTTGAAATTTTGTTCTTGTTGATTACCTGGAACCAAAACCTGATGGGCTCTATCCCCTGTGTTTGAGTTCTATGCTGTTGTTTGTGACGTGATGGCTTTACAAAATGAAGCAGTACACAATCGTTTCTTTCTATCCTAACTTTTACAAAGATCCGGGCGTGACATTTGCAGTCTGGACCTACTTCACATTCTCAACTTCAATGTGCCTGCCCTTGAGATGCCTCACTATTTCAATCACATCTACACCCCACCACATTTGCAATGAGCTCATCAGAAATGTTCCCTTTGGTGTGAGGCGCTGAGCCGCTCAGCGTGTGCCCCTGCTCTGGCACACCTCACACGGCACGAGGACAGCCATGAGGACTTAGTCCACCTGGTGAGTTAGATAAATGCTTTATGCTGCACAGGACATGGGGATGTGCCATGTCTTGGGCAGATGCCGCCTTCCCAGGCTGTCTGGGCTCCAGCAGGTACATTTTTACAGGGCACACATTGCTTAGCCAGGGTCTGGAGAGAAGATGCCCTCCATCCACCCCGTTCTCAGGTGCTGCTAGGTGACACAGAGCTGAGATGACTCCTGGCTTACTGTCACTGAACTCATCCCCATGTGTCAGCTCACAGCTTTGGACTTGGCTGGCTGTCTTGATTTAGAGGGGAAAAACTAAGAAGTGCTGAGAGCAGACCTCACCTCTTGGCCAAAGGAGCCAAATGGGCTTGAGTCACCACTTCCAGATCCAGAGCTTCACACCCAGAAGGCTTGGATGGCTCAGATACAAGCATAGTTTTGATTGAAGATTCTCAAGGGCTTCTTGTTGGAGGTTAAGGACTGAGGACCAGGTAATTCTTGGACCTATTATTAGATGATAATCAGCATCTCAAGACAATACACGGTGTGTTTTATATGTATGAATATAACATGAAAAAACACAGAAAGCCTAGAGAAATTTATCTGTGTGACATTCCCTGTTTCTGTCTGTGTCTTTGGAAGGATCCAGAGACAGAAGGAGGATCTGACTGGCAGCAGGGGCAGGTAACCGATCCTGCTTGGTAACAGGATCTGTTGCTGGGTCACTGAGGTTTCTGTGAGTGGGGGTGTGTTTGCATTGGGGCTGGAATTTCAGCCTCATATACAAAGAAATAATTCATTATAGTCACTAATGTCTGTGACTTCACGGCTGTTAACGGGTGTCTTTTCTGTTTGCAGTGTGCATGTACAGAGAGCCATCGCTGCATGAAATTGGAGAAAAACAAGGACGCTCAAGAAAAAGTTCAGGGACACCAACCATGAATGGAGGCAAAGTTGTTAACCAAGACTCGACATAGCTGACAAATACCCTCCCTTCTTCCAACTCCTCCCCTCCCCCCCACCTACCCACCCCACCTGGCGAAACCACACTGAGACGACAACTGAGCAAGGCAGGACCTACCGGTAGTGGCTAGGAGTCCGAACTCCGGAATCTTTCTTTGTGTAGGACGAAGAAATTGAACCCCAGATCCTGCCTGTTGCAACGTTTTAAAAAACAAAAACAACAAAAAAAGTGAAGAAAAAAATGTTTTAAATCAGGACTCCATTAACATTTTCAAAAGCAAACTGTTTGCTCTGTGATCAAAGGGGGAAAAAAAAATTCTCATCTCTGCATAATAATAATAATAATAACAA